GCTCGACCTCGAACGCCTGTGGGAGCTGCAGGGTGGGCTTCGTTTGTAACTAGGGCAGCCTGCTCAACGCTCCACCTCTGTGGAGTTGGTCGGAGGTCGCTAACACAGAGCAGGGCAAAGTACAAGGTAATTCTAGCTGAAGATAACCCGACGCCAGCATTCGTGAAGAGAAGCGGAAATGTAGCGTGAGACGCTTCTCCGCAATCCTCACCAAAGGATGATGTACACTGTTTGCCCTGGCTCTGCCCATCCTGGCTATGCCAGACTTGCACACGTCCGAGAAGTGATACTGTTGACAGTCTGTACTGCCCCACCCTCTGACTTGGCGGTTGTGCTACCATCTTGAGTTGTTCAAGCTGAACCACTAATAAGAGCAGCATGCAATTCATCCCCACTCTGTCAGTAACTTAGATAATACTGATCTTTTACGTATGAGACAAAGCATATTTTGGGAATCCTGTGAAATGTATACAACATTTTGTAAAATACTATGTTAGAATGGACAACATTCTTTAAAAATGGACGGCACCTCTGGATAAAAGCCAGGAAACTAGAGCAAGGTTATATAATGTATTACACACAGAATAAATATTTTTCAGAAAAGGAAATGCAAGATACTGTTCACATTGACTTATGATTGCGTTACTAAAAAAACCTTAATAAAAACCTGTATAGTAAATACTGTATTAAAATATAGTGCAGCATATAAAAGCAGTAGACAGGAGGGATGAGTGGAAAAAATAATTTCAGTATATTTTTACATCTACATAGGGGCTGTTGTGTTATGTATTCTACGTATTACAGTGGCAGCTACATCACAATTCATGGATGTCAATGTAGAAAAAGCTTTTAATTATTTTTTATAGCAAATTTAACATTTTGCCTAGTGATCATTACTGTTTATGTCACTATAACTTAACAGGCATTTGCTATTAATAACTTAAGAGGACTCACACTAGTGCTGTTCTGTTTTTTACAGTCTGTTGGATTCTTCTGAGTATATAAGTGCTAAGAAGCAGGGTATGTGTTGCTTTTCTCTATGTGTACATCTGTGTATGGGGAGAGTTGACAAACTTCTAATTTGTCAAAGTTGTTGAAAAGTGAGTGAATGCTTTACTTCGCAATGTACTGATGTTAGATGTTTCTGAAAAACTGACTAAGAAAACAGTCTGCACTGTGACTGGCAGAAAAACTTTTCTGAATCGGCATCCAAACTTAAACACCAGACTTTTAGCCTTTTGTATAGAACTATAACTAGAATACTGTGACTGCACGGTAGTAACACTGCTATGAAATACTTATATTCGGGTGAGATGATCCTACTGAAGCATATCTGCCAGGCAAAAGACCATATAAATCACAGGAAAGGGACAGAAAAAGATATAAAGCATTTCAGTTCATGAAAATTTCTTTTAAAGTCATGGCTTGGGTGAGGTGACAGCTCTGTAGACCCTAAACAAATTAACTTCTCTTCAAGGAAAGGGTTTATTAGATAGTGTAGCACTTTTGATTAGGGGGAAAAAAAACCAAAACAGAATGTGGCTGAGACTTATTTAGAGTCTCACAGGCTAGGGGCTGAGTAAACCCTGATGGTATCCTTATTTTGGCTGGAAAGGTTACTATCCCCAAGCCTTGCCTTGGAGCTTGTCACAGCTCCTTGTTAGAAGCAATCTGTTAGATAGCAGGGTTCTGTTGTTTAAGCTGTCAAATAGGGGAAAGGCATTGGGGAGCACTCATTCAAGTGCTCAGCTATTGTCTGTAGGACTAGCAGTAATCACAACCAAGGGTAAGGACCCAGAGGGATTATTTTAGTTATTAAATTATTTTAGGTGGCCCAGGTTCAGCCAGGTGGGATTGTGTAGTTGGACGCTCAGTGCTAAACCTCTTGTGTAGCTAAACGAGGAAGGGCTTCAGGTTGGTGCTTTGAGTGTTTCTGACCACCAGAAAATAAACCATGGTAGAAAAATGAGAATTCTCCAAGCATGTCTGTAAAATACAACATTTTGTAGAAGCCCATTACCTGTTAATTTTTTATGTTAGTGTGTTTGGCTTAGAAGGCAAAAAGACTTTTTCTAACACATAGCAATTCCATCCTGTGTTCTGAAACTCTCCAACTTTTTCCATCACTAGTAATGGTGAATTCTAATTACATCTTAGTTGACAACTTTGTGAGGAACAGCTGACTAGAACCCATTCCTGTCCTAAATAGGCGTTTTGGCTCTGAAGGGATGACAGAAATAGAAAAGAGAGTTTTGTCAGTGAAGTGCAACACAGTGTGTTTATTTTCGGTGGCTTCCTTAACTGTGAGAGGCTTCCCACCTCTCCTCTCCCTCTCCCTGCTACTGCTTTATATCTTCACATGTACTTTGGTAAAAGCTGAGCTGCACAGGACAAAGTAGGACCCTCTGTTCTTGATATGCATTGATGCATCCCACCCCCCACCAGGTACCAAGTGTTTTCCTCAAGAGGCAGAACAGCAAGGGTGTAGCTTATTGTGATAGAGCTCATGAAAGCAAATAAGTCACTTAAACTAAGATATTACTTACTAAATGCTTTTTTAATAGCTTTCCTCATGCTTCAGTTTGTTCATTGTTAGATACTAAATCAGTTGGTGATTAGACAAAAAAACCCTAAAACAACAGTATTGAGGATTGCTTATTAGCTGCTTTTCATTTTGGAATTTAAGAAAAGAGATACTTTAAGTTAACTTACCATAGGTTTTCTTTTTTAGGTGGAAAACAACATTTAATGTAACATGTATAAAAAATAAAAATGGGATTAGTTTAAAATTGATCTCTTTTTCCTTCTGAACTCCTAGTAGAAACTGGAGAAGGCTCTTCATGCATGTGTCTTTCAGAGTCTGTATTTGCTTTGGAAAAATTCAGAGAGTTCTGAATCACAAAGATTGAAAAGGACTAAGGGTGTTTTGGAACATTTTTTTTCTTGGATAAGAATTGCCAAAAAGCAAATACAATTAAAAAGGCAGTAATTGAACTTGAAGACTGTGGACCAATATTTAAGATTTAATTCCTTAACGATACTAGTATCACGGTGGTGACAAATAGAGAATTATCATATTGTGATAATAACATGGCATTTCTGTAGTATTTCTTAAGCATTGCACAGCCACTGATTGTGTCAGTCAGTCCTTGTTCTGTGTAGGTAAGTATTTTCACAACTTGGGAGGCCAAAGGCTACATGGGGAACCCATATTGGAGGGAGTGCCCCAGCCTTCCAGACTCACCAATTCTTCATTTCTTTCTAAGAAAATCTCAGTAATGCAAATTTTCTGCATTTTGTATGGATTTTTTTGTTTATCGTTATTACTATGAAAGCATTTTTAACCTCATCTATCTGCATTGTATGGCAGGGATGCAGATCTGAATTGCGTTCAACATTTTTATAAATGTTGAAAAAAGCTGCACTGTGTAAGACAAATTAGTCAGTTACATATGTGGAGTTGGAATAGAGTGACTCAATAATCCATCAGGAGAAGCATTTTCATGATAAATGCTGAAGAAATGTCTAGTGTAATTCTTTTGGCAATTATCTGTTTCTGTATTGAAAAAAGAAGTTATATCACTACTTGACTACTAAATATAGTGTTAAAGTAATTTTAGGAAATGCTGCTTTTAAATATATCCCCCATCACCAAATGGGGGAGAAACTGCAAATTTGTGAGCTGCTTTTAACTTTTCCCAAAGATGTGTTGATACATGGTGCAGTAATCTATAAATGAATGCTAAAGTTAATTGTAAAGGGAGACCAAGGAGATCAGTAGAGCTATATATGAAGCTAAAGTCCTTTTAAACAGGACATAGTTATTTAAAGCACCAACATAGGTAGATTTAAGGTTTAGAAACAATATGCATGTGGTTGTTTAGGAATTTAAAAACACCGCACTTGGTTCAAACACTGTTAAGAGTCTCAGTTACAGTTCATATTTAATTGTAAATTTAAATTGCTGGCACTGTTTGTTGCTCAAGCTCCACCCACCCCACCTGGGTTCTGTTTTGGCTCTAGATTTATGGCATACACCATGGTGGATCTGTGCTGGAAGCTGTCCGTCTGCTTTTTTTGCTATCAAGTTGTCTCAGGAAGAGTTAAGAGGGAGGGGCATTACGTTGCTGCTGTCTATGAACACGAGTCCATACTGAGTCCTAACCCGACAGCCCTCGTTGATCGACAGTCTGCGCTGGAACTCATGGGCAGAAACCTAGACATCTATGAACAGCAAGTAGTGGCTGCTGCAAGACAGGTATGCTGCAGCTTAGTAGCAGTTGCGTGTGCCCTATATATATAGAGAGAGAGTAAGTGCTATTTGAGTATAATCTTTCTCATTTGTGTTCCCAGGCAACTAAAGCCATATATGGTCTGGTTTTTCAGACATTCTGACCTGCCAGCAGCTCTGAAAAAAAAATCAGGCCAATTAGCAGCTTGCCTGACTTGGGTTATTCCAAGATTGGAAAAACATGCCTATAGTTATTTAGTATAGGGAAATTAATTTTCTGTTTTGGTCTGAATACCTAGCTCCTTTCTATTTTTTTAAAATGGAATGTTTTTATTGAAAGATTGTCTTACAGGCAGCTGTCTTTGGGTTTGATTTTATTACAGTGCTCTCAGTGGAAATTCCTGAAGGTTTCTAAAAACTAAGGAAGTTAAATGCTTTGGAAATGAATGTTCCACTATTAACAGCTTTGTGGAAGTAAAGTTTTCCATTCCTTTCTCCTACCTTCCATGGAATGGTTCTCAGTCTAACTATATTTAGAGGATAGAGACTAGTATTTCTGACTGTTCTTATGCACAGTCTCCTTTCGTTCCCTCCCCAAGAAAACACAAAGCTGGTTCTAGTCAGAGGAAGCAGGCATTACTGTTCCTGTGCAGTGAAGAAATGACTTGATTCACAATTTTATATAATTTGAAAAAGTGGTTGTTTCTGTTGTGGGGGGTTTTTTGGGTTGTTTTTTTTTCTGAGAATGATGACTGGGCATCACAGTCCAGAAGCGTAATAGCTATTTTTTTGTAGTACTGCATCCAAGACTTGTGAATTATCCCAAAGCCGTAGAATAGATGATAACACATTTGAACTGACTTCTGAACGGTCACAGGAATTTGAGTGACTGATGCTGTGTCTGGTTTAAGAGGAATCTGCTGCATTTTTAGGAACAGATCTCCCTGAACTTCAGGTAGAGCCAGCCTAGCTCTGGCATGGCTACATTTCTACCAGAATCTGCAATGCTTCCACAGTTAAGCTGTTTCTGAAAACAATACTCCCAGTACCCTGTCCAAGCATATATACCTAATCACGGTATATAGCCCAGACTAAGTGATGCTGCACCTTTAACACAGTTAATGTACCTTTGACACAGGTACAGCATCTTTGACAAAGTTCATCTGCAAATAGCACAACTCTGAAAAAAAAAAAAATTAAAACAAATCTTAACATCATCAGTCTTTGACCTGAATAATGTCATTCTCATGACTCGTGGTTGGAGAATACTTTTGGTAAGAATTTGCATTAGGTCTGTTTTTACTTGCACGCCCTTAAAATAATGTCAAATATATTATTTTTCAAGCCAAAGGTATGCGCCAGGTTAAATAAGCTTTTTTAATACATGTAGTTACACCTACTATGAAGTCAAAGAAAAGATATTTTCAAAGTACATTCTTGTCAAAACATACCTGGGTTATCTTTAACTTTCTTTAGCTCTCTTTCCCCATGAAATTCCCCTTTTTTTTCCCTTTCCTATTTAGGTTGGTTTTGCTTTGCCTACAAAACATGTCTTTGTTTTACATACAGGGAGCACAGATCATTGTTTTTCCTGAAGATGGAATCCATGGCTTCAATTTCACTAGAAGCTCCATTTATCCTTACTTAGATTTTGTTCTGCATTCACACTCTGTGAAGTGGAATCCATGCAGAGAGCCGTATTTGTTCAATGACACAGAGGTAAATGTAGGAGTGATTTCTGCAGAGTGGTGGAATAACTAAATACTAGATTTGTGCTCCAAGTGGGAAGCTAGCTCTAGTAGTTTTGCTTCGGGAAGTAAGCCGAAGTTTAACAACTCATAGGACTAGATTCTGTTTTCGTGCATTCTCGCTTTATGCTGGTTTCATTCTTAGCAGAGGCGGATTTTAGATTAGATACATACATGCAAGAAGATTTAGCTTGTTTATGAGCCATCTGTATTTGTCATTTCCCCCTTCCCAACCCATGAAATGGTGATCACTCTCTAATAAGATACATTGCTAGTAGTGTTATTTTGAACATTGTTTTATATAAAAAAATAGCAGTATCTTCACTTTTGATGCATTCTTATTACTGAGTTTTAATGACTTAATGACATCAGAACATCCTGACTCAGCGATTGAGTGTAAAATGATTAGCACAAGTAATAGGACTTGACCTGCTATAATGTAATAGAAGTCACAACTTAGCACAGACCAAGTGTGATTACAGATGTAACCTGCAGGTTGCAAAAATAGTATTTTCATCGACCGTTCTGAACCCGAAGTGAAAATAACCATGCTTAGTAATACAGACTATTTATTCCTATTAAGGTTACAGTAGTCAATATTGTGAAAGTAAGTAATCGTACATGTGCCTGCTAAGCAGAATTTGTGTGCAAACGTTAGTCGCAGTTGTAAATGGTGACCTGCTTTGGCCTATGAATCTTTACTACCAATGATTGTGCACAAGCAAGTCAGAACTCAGTTTGTTATTCAGATCCTATTTGGAGACTGCAGTACTGGCAGTCTTTGGTACAGCTTTCTATGGCATGGAAGAAATATCCCAGTAATACTGTAGTCTGTAACTTTTTGCATTTTTTTTCCGTAACTATACAAAGTCTACCCGTTTACATATCTGCTTCTCTAAGTTGTAGCTAGTAATCACTTTTAAAGAAATTTAGAGTAAAAACATTTAGTTGCAGGAACAAGCCATTGCAGGTGCAAATGATCGTTATTAGATGTTTGCTGTTCTAAAGGCACAGATCAGTTATGCTGCCTTGTCAAAGCTTTCAGTTGACCTATGGTGTTCTAAAGCCATTGGTGCTCCTGCAACAGTCAGAAGTTTCTGAAAATTAATGCCCTTGAAATAGATTTATTTACTTACTTCTCAGGAAAGAAAACCCAGATAATTTATTTCAGTGCTATTTTGAAATTAATATCTGAAATACTTTTCAGTCTAGAAAGCTACTGGTTCCAGTAGCTTTCATGACAAAATCATCAGTACTTTTAAATTTTACAAATATGGTCAAATGTGTTCAATTTCCAGTTGAAAATAATAATTTTAAAATAATAAAATAAGTCATAGCTGCTTAAGTAAAACTTACCCCTCCATATTCTGAGGTGCTTACATTTCCCCATACTGTTCTCCAGGTTCTTCAGCGTCTGAGCTGCATGGCACTGAAGAACAAAATATTCCTTGTGGCAAACTTGGGAACTAAGCAACCCTGTGAATGCACTGATCCGCACTGTCCCCCTGATGGAAGATACCAGTTCAATACCAACGTGGCATTCAATGATGACGGTATGCTGGTAGCCACATATCGCAAACAGAATCTGTATTTTGAATACGCTTTTGATACCCCTCCAGAGCCTGATTATAAACTCTTTGATACCCCTTTTGCTGGCAAGTTTGGTATGTTCACTTGCTTTGATATACTCTTTTTTGAGCCTGCAGTGAACCTCATCAGGCAATACAATTTGAAACAAGTTGTATATCCAACTGCCTGGATGAACCAGCTCCCGCTCCTGTCTGCTGTAGAATTTCAACAAGCTTTTGCAACAGCTTTCAACATCAATGTTTTAGCAGCTAATATCCACCACCCTTCCTTGGGCATGACAGGGAGTGGCATATACACTCCAGTCAAATCGTTCATCTACCACAACATGGAAGGTTATGGTGGCAAGCTCATAGTAGCAGAAATTCCCGTGATTACCGCAGATTACAAAACCAATTTGGAGAGTAATGAAAGATTTGGAGAGAACTTGCATCACTCGTGCAAGACTTTTACAAGCACCTCAATGGATGATCAAGTTTGCTTTAAGGAGGAACAAGAGACCCCTGGCAGAGTATCAGAAAAAGGAAATGAACAGTTACCTCCCCTATTTTATGCAGAAATGATGTATGACAACTTTACTTTCGTTCCTGTATGGGGGGAAAAAGGAGAGCTCCAAGTTTGTGCCAATACCCTTTGTTGCTACTTAAATTATCGGAAAGCTGTTTTAAGTGATGAATTATATGCTTTGGGAGTTTTTGATGGGCTCCATACAGTGCATGGCACATACTATGTCCAGGCCTGTGCATTAGTGAAGTGTGGTGGTCTCAGCTTTAGCACTTGCGGACAAGAGGTTACAGATGCCACTGCTGTGATAGATTTCCAGCTATGGGGAAATATGAGTACCCCTTATATCTTTCCTTTACTGCTGACATCTGGTATTACCTTGGACTTTGCTGATCACATGGGCTGGAAAAACAACCACTATTTCATAAGCAAAAATAGAACATCTTCTGGCCTACTGACAGCTGCTCTATATGGACGATGGTATGAAAAGGACTAGCACGGATATTGACTGAATCAGAAAACAACCGCCCCTATGTTCAGAGTAGATAACATAAGTTGTTGAACGTCTGTACTGCCTAGAGCTTCAGGTATGTTTGTTACCTGACTGACTGATAGATTCCACATTTGAAATGATAAGCAAAGCATTTAACCTAAGAGGCAGTAAGTACAGTCCGTACCTTGGTAGCTTATGTCCTACCAGAAGTAAATAACTGCTTTGCAAAGATAAAGGCTTGTTGACCCATTAGTGTTGAGATGCTTTAAATTGGGAAAATAATATTTCTCATTTCAACTGAATTTGTTCCTTTTAATTTAATCCTTTGGTTTTCTGGGATCCTGGCTAGGAGCATGGAAAAGAATGGAATGGAAAACCATTGCAAAAGAAAAGTAGGAAGGCGAATGAAGACACAAATACTGTGCATGACATGCATGAAAATATATCTGTATACATACGTATAGCTTGTCTATGGTGAGGTTTTCTGGTTAGGGTGCTGTGATTGATTTTTTAATTCTTTATTTTTTTCTTAAGAGTCAAAAACTCCTAGCTGAAATCGTTACCATTTACTGGCCACGCAGTTGTCTGTAATCCCGTTAGAAAACTCAGTGAGTTTTCTCATATACTTTTAACAGTAACTGAATGTTACAGTTGTGAACATCTGTGGAACAGCTAGTCTGGGGAAGAGGATATCAAATGATTGTGAAAAACTAGACTGCATTAAGACATAATTTCCAGCCTACTGTGCAAGGAATTGTGTTTAAAGAAAACGTCAGCAGTGATTATCGACGACTATGTTATGTACTGTTTAAGTACTTTAACTTTCCCTGTTTAAAAGAGAGATCATTTCAAGACTGTTTTGACTTTAAGGCATCTTACACATTGTTCATATATTCATTCAACAAGGGCTATGAAAAGCACATAATGAATTGTGGGACAGCAAGGTTTTTACATACATACTTCATGTGCCAGATGGCAGGTTCCTGCTGCTAAATGAGTAAAACACTGTTGTTTCCAGAGCAATAACTAGATTAAGTACTATAAATATTGTACTGCAGTGACAAACTGTTCAGTGAAGAAGGTGGGAAGAGAATATTCAAAGGATATTAATTTGGGGTTAAATTCAGGGAAGATAACTTATTCTCAAGCATTATAATTTTGTGTGGTCTTATTGGCCGTTATGACTTCATCTGCGTAATGGCTGTTGAGTAATGGAATAAACATAACCAGTCCTTTGGTGAGTCCTTGCGTTCCAGTTGCTCAGTCCATTAGTTGCATTAGGAGCAGTGGGGAGCAGAGCACTAATGGGAGAGTTATGAGTCTCCGTTTCAGTGGTCTGAGTCAGTTCTGATGTGTTCAAACCCAAACCACTATGGCAGCTACAGGTATGCATACTGAAAGGTGCTCATCAGTAAGCTCCTGCTTTGAATGAACTCACTTTCTGGTTTCGGAAAGCAAAACCACTAAGAAATTGATGATGTTTTTCTACCTCAAGGCTTCTTAAATATATATGATCTTGGACTCTGCCAAACCTTCCTTCTCTAAGCTGTATTACTGTGAGCCAGGACCTAGTCACACTGAGTTTTGATACAGCAGCGCAACAGGTTAGTTTTTCCTGCATCATATATTGGACAGAAATATGGAGAGTGGAATGTCTATATCTCATTAGACATAAACTTGCTGATGCAAAAGTAGGCCACTCCACCACAGGATTATTAAAAATCATTAATTCTTTGACACCCATAGTGGTGTTCTTGCTGAATGCTGCACAAGTGCCAGAACATAGAGGGTAGAACATAAAAGCATCTGTGGTGCTTATTGTGCTTCTGGTTCTACTACCATAATGACCAAGTCTAAAAGAAAAGTACAATGAACAGCTGCAGAATTTCACCTGTCAGGATAAGCCTCCCGACCTCACTTTGTAAGCTGAAAAACATGCAGCCTCTTGCACTAAATATTGGTTCATATTTAGTTCCAAAGCAGACTGTTATTATCACAATAAATTAGGTTAAACAAATAAATAGCATTACCTGTATTTGCTGTGCTTAAGGGAAAAAAAAGCATTTATCTGAGAGATACTTTCAGGTGTGTTCCAGAGCTGTTCTAACTTTGGGGATGTCAAAACTATTAGAAAACAAGCCATTCTGGCCTTACTGTTTGCGTGGAGCACGTTGCTTGCTCTTCTCCCCGAGAAGTGTAGGTGTTAAGTATTGGAGCATGTTCTCATACCTTGTTCCCTTCACCCAAAAAAGCAGCAAAGAGACACTGGAAAAAGTGAACAGACAGTACTAGACCTGATGGAACCTTTCTAATAAGTAACTTCCCTCCACCATCCTGATTTTTGAGCGACAACAGACGTGTCCATTCTGAAACAGGGTGACCAGGCAGTAACCTACAACACTCACTACCACTGATCGGCGGATTTTGGAAGTCCACGCTGGAACAGCAACCCTAGCGTTGCCCTGCTGAATGCAGCACTGTTCCCAAACAACCTGGTGGAAGCTACATACCATTTACTGAGGAGGTGTGAGAGGCCTTCAGCAAGGCTGATGTTCACACAGGCAGACTCACACTGTAATGCAGCCCATCATCTAATATCTCTTCAATAGATATAAATGGTTTTATTAAAGCTGCCTGAACTGTTTCCATCTGAGTGTGCAACCAAAACCAAACCAGAACACAAGGATCTTTTGACATACAGGAAGTACAGCGTAAGTCTAGAACAGCTTTAAATCACTCTGTTGACTTAAACAAAATCAATATTTGGAGATTTGTACTGACACCAAAGGAACATCCTGCTTGAGACACAGAGCAGGTGGTGATGTCTTTGAGGGGCCTTGACGCTGTCCCCAGGAAGGGGAAGACAACCATAGAAACTGTCCAGGTAGGGGTAACAGCACATGAATCGGAGGTGGTGGGGCTTTCTTCATCGTGGATCTGCTGCTTTGGGATTCACATGACCAGTGAGTTTTCTGGATGGATGTGGGGATACTCTGATTACAGTGAGAGACAGCACCTGAAAGCACACCAAAGGAACGTTCAGCAAACAGGACCTTGGAGTTAAGTTACTGAGAGCATGTAAATAGGCTGAGGAGCATTACTGAGCATGTAAATAGGCTGAGGAACTGGTAACAGCCTGGGACAATCTGTTCAGAACAAAGATCTTCAGAAGGCTCAAGTGGGTGTAAGCTCATTTGAGCAGATCTCTACAGGTGAAATGAACTGGACTGAAGTGACTGAGCTTCAAAAGCCTCCTGCAGTCAACACAGAAGGAAGGAAGCCATCATCATATGAGCCACAGCACAGTCTTGCCCAGGCTGTGACCTGTCTTGCAGCATCAGGTATTTAACAAACATCCCAGCATCACAGAAAACCCAAGAGGGTGACTACCCTCTTTGGCTGCTTCAGGCATACCATCTAAAGCGAACAAAAGAGCCAACTGAAAAAAATTCATTTGCAGAATTGTTACAGAAAGAGGACCTGAACAATGCCTAACCACTACTATGGCACACACTACGATTCAGGGGCTAGAACTAGCCCCTCCTCCTCCTCCATTTATGTAGGTTAAAAAAAACCCCAAAAGTGGTGACAAATGCCATTCCTGAAAACCCCAAATATTTGCAGATCGAAGTGAGAGTTATTGCTTAATCAAGTTTTTAATGGTCAACGGCAGTGGAAGTACTTCAGAGATTCACTGCGCTCTCCTTCCTCCCCTCCAGTGGGAGAGCAGGCGTAGGCAATGCAGGTCAGAAGTCAGAGGCGATAGTGGTACCCACAGCAGATCAAACAAACTCTTGGTAGAAAAGATTAGAGAGGTTCAATTCAGTAGGATGTTCATAGAGTCTAAGAAAGATTTTTAAGATTTTAAGAAAACTGTGCAAACAGCTTGAATAACAAAGTTTGGTAAGGGATAGGAAATACATGACAGGATAGGAGGTGAATCCTTAGATTTTGCTTTAAAACTGTTTAAGGTATCTAATATATTCTTCTAACATAAAAGAACATCTGAGACCTTGGTGTCTTAAGCTTTGTAAACTAAGTCAATTCCCAGGTACAATGAGAAGAACATCTGCACATCTGTCATTTGACAAGGCTTGGAAGTGGGGCTTTGTTTTGTTCTGTTGTGAAGCTGGAATAGCAAAGTTTCTGGTTCCTTCTATTGCAATTTTAATGAAAAAAGAGTGTGTAAGTTGTCTTTCTCCTCTTTAAATATTTAGTGACACTAACAATATAAAGACAGCGTGAAAGGCTGTTTAGGTTCCATATTATTCAACTACGTTTACAGTTACATGGTGAAATACTGCAAGATTCCTTTCCCAGCCTCAGCTTGAAAATTGCTAAAACATAGCATGGAACCAAGGGAGCCCAGTTTATCCTAATGTAAAATCACACACAGCACCAGGGAAGCATGGATCATTTAGATACTGCTTTATTTGAAGACAAGTAACAGTGCTAAAAGAGACAGGATACCAAGCTGGAAAGAGTTGCAAGAAATCTTCACATCCCGCAAGTAGGGACACTCATCTTTCCCTGTCCGGACCGTTCCGTTGCCAGATGCATTGTAGAGACAGGAAGAAGCCCACAGCTTGAAAATTGTAGTCACATCTGTAACCATTTTCCCCCCAGGGAAGGGAAGCTGAAACACCAGTGTGATTTTCCTGGGCTCTATATAACTAACAGCTGACAGAAATGCTCTTGCCGAGGCTGCCATTTCACAGTTTTTCCCCTCGGTACGTATGAGGGGATACATGGATCAGACAAGGGGCCCGGGTGACATTTACAATGTCCAACCTGGCATTTACTTCTTCTGTTAAGCAGCAAAACAAAGGAATTTTTGTGATAAGGCTTATAGCTCATTATAAATACAATAATAGGCTATTTTCTTAAGAATAAACAGTTGTTTTGCCATTTCAAATTAATGCACAGTGGTTTCTTTGCACTTAACATTCATCAAAACATAAGGATCTTATAGTGAGAAAAGGACTCCAGAAAAAGAGAAAAGCCAATGCTATCAGCTGACAAACATAGAGGCCTGTATTGTGTCTCTTCACATTTAGCATCTCAGGTTTCAGTCTGTAAAGGAGACCCACGTTTTTTAAATTCTTACCTTGCCCAATTTGGAGTCACAGCTGTAGATTTTTTA